ACCTACCAGGTATGGTTTTGAAGATTTGGTTTCTTATGCGCTTATTACTAGTAGCGGGGATCCTACAACTTTTCAGGAGGCAGTACAAAGCCAAGAGAAAAGTAGATGGATGGGTGCTATGGTGGAGGAGATGGAGTCTCTGCATAAGAACCAGACGTGGGAGTTGGTGGAACTTCCCGAGGGGAAGAGAGCAATAGGGTGCAAATGGGTGTATAAGAAGAAAGAAGCAGTATCAGAAAATGAGGGAGAAAAATTCAAGGCTCGTCTAGTAGCAAAGGGTTACTCACAGAGAAAAGGGGTTGACTATGATGAGATCTTCTCCCCCGTGGTCAGACACACTTCCATCAGGACAGTGTTGGCACTAGTAGCACATTCAGATATGCAGTTGGAGCAGATGGATGTAAAGACAGCTTTCCTTCATGGCGACTTGGAGGAACGGATTTACATGGTACAGCCAGAAGGGTTCAGTCTCCCTGGAGAGGAACATTTGGTCTGTAATTTGAAGAAATCACTTTATGGGCTGAAGCAGTCTCCGAGGCAGTGGTACAAACGATTTGACTCTTACATGATCCGAATTGGCTACAAAAGGTGTGAGTATGATTGCTGTGTCTATGTAAAAGGGCTTGATGATGATTCATTTATTTTTCTATTACTTTATGTGGATGATATGTTGATTGCTGCCAAGAGTATGAGTGAGGTCAACAAGTTGAAGACTTTGTTGAGTAGAGAATTTGACATGAAGGATTTGGGTACGGCCAAGAAGATTCTTGGGATGGAGATTCGCAGGGACAGAGCTTCCAGGAGATTATGGCTATCTCAGCATAGCTATGTTGAGAAGGTGTTGGACAGGTTCAGCATGAGTTATGCAAAATCAGTAAGTACACCTTTGGCGAATCATTTCAGATTGTCTACCACTCAGTGCCCGAAGACAGATGATGAAGTTCATGACATGTCAAAGGTCTCATATGCTAGTGCAGTGGGGTGTTTAATGTATGTTATGGTTTGTACAAGACCAGATTTGGCACAAGCTGTCAGCGTGGTTAGCAAGTTTCTTTCAAATCCGGGTCGACAGCATTGGGATGCAGTCAAGTGGATTTTCAGATACTTGAGGGGCACTACAGACTATGGCATCAGGTTTAGCAGACAACAGAGTGACCCTTCAATTATGGGATATGTGGATGCAGACTATGCAGGGGACTTGGATGATAGGAGGTCTACCACAGATTATGTGTTTACTCTTGTGGGAAGACCTATTTGTTGGAAGTCCATGGTACAACCTATAATTGCACTATCTACTACTGAGTCAGAGTATATGGCAGTAGCTGAGGCTGCCAAAGAGGCTTTGTGGCTTACAGGTTTAGTCAAGGAGCTGGGTGCCCAGCAATGTGGAGTTCAATTGCATTGTGATAGTCAGAGTGCCATTTATTTGGCAAAGAACCAGGTGTATCATGCGAGGACCAAACATATAGATGTGAGGTTTCATAAGATCAGGGAACTGGTTTCTTCTGGTGAACTATTACTTGAGAAAGTTCACACTTCTGAGAATGCAGCAGATATGTTGACAAAACCTGTTACTACAGACAAGTTCAAGCACTGCTTGGACTTGATTAATGTCTCTAGTTGCTGGATGGGAGATGCTTTAACTCAGTGTCCCCGGTGGAGTTCCCGAATACATGTCCTCTTTTTTTTTTCTTCTAAGGGGTGAATATTTGTCAAGGTGGAGATTGTTAGAGTATGTGTGGCTCATATTTGCTGTGTGCATAATGGCAAGGAGGCAGATGCTGGAGCGTAGCGGAGTGGAGCCCGCGACGGCATCTGTCTTGCGGGATTTATATAAAGGGGACGCTGATTAGTTGGGGGTGCGGGGACAACGCCCCCGCGGTACGGTACAGGGGTATTTTTGTAAATACGTCCATATTAGGGTTATATAAATACTTAAGATGTAACCCTATTCTATAATGGAAAAGAACAGCCGCTCGCTCTCGTGGATGTAGGCACATTGCCGAACCACGTAAATCTCTGTGTGTTATTTTCTCCTGTTTTCTTAATTGTTTGATTCCTTACTATTCACCATAATTGCTGCACGAACACAACACCATTAATCTAAACAGTAGTGGATTATTTTTTTGACACACATGAATGTTTTTATGCTTTGGAAAACAATGACATTTCTTGTATTCACTTTTGAAACTTATTCCCGGAATTTTGAAACTTATATTGGATTTATGATTAGGTCCGTCATTGGAGTTGATTTTAATCTGAATTCGAGTCTATTTAATTGGGATAAATTAATATTTTAATACTGATGATGTTCTTAACACGGTTGAGCAGTGGTATAAATATAAAATGCACTGAACAGTTAAATGTGATTCAATTTGTGCTCAAAGGCTCTTGAGAACAGGATTTTGGGAATAAGTGGGTGATCGCACAGAGTGTTTATAGTGGTTCACTAGTTTGGGAGCTCGACTTGTATATATCGATTACTTTTGACGTTTACAGAAAGTATCTTTGGTGAGGCTACAATGACTTGTCTTTATTTTTGAGGGTTTTGCCTCCTATTTATAGTTGTCCCTGAGCCTAGCTTGATTTGAGATAAGATCCTCGGTCCTCCTTTGTAACGGTCGCCTTTATTGCGCAACGGTTTTAACAGATGTTGGGATGGTTACGAGACTTGCGTTTGCTGAGTAACTTATGCTACAAAGGGGGTACTTGGTGGGATTCAGTTGTCCTCTGCATAGCCTTCCTCGAGATGTGGACACAGAGAGTTAAAGTATGAGGTCGAGGTCTACAAATAACATAAATGAGTTGAGCTCCCGACTTGAGTTACTAAGCTCAACCTTAAGTATTTTGTTGGTACCATCAAATAAGTTTACTTGAAATCTGATTAAGTTTATTTAAACGGATTTAGATTTAGATAAATGTAAATTCCATATGATACAGATATATTAAATTGAAAGAAATTATTGTATATATACATGCATACTTAGTTATCTTATTAATCAGGTACCGGTACTACTTATTAGAAGTACTTGTACATATTTCCAAATTAGTTTTTGAACTTCAACGCTTCCAAGTCTCCATATCTTGAGCTCTTTTCTTTGGATAATATAAATGGTTAAATTTGAAGTCTTAGACTTTAGAATGTAGACCTTGAAATAATCGTATGATTAATATATGCACAAGTTATGTATTGAGTTGTGTTCCCGTGCAAAAGAAACTCTATCCGAATTCCGTTTAGTTATAATTTCAGTGAAAAAAGTGTAACGACGTGGTACCATTTATACAATATTTACGGATATTCTGCGAGTTGATGTGTGATCAACGAGTTAAGAAAGGACCTCTAAATTTTAGAGATGTCACATAAATAAAAATTATTGAATCCAGTCTAACATATCATGTACAAATAGAACATGAGACTTATTAAGAGTCATTAAGTTGCAATGGCCATGTCACACGTTAGGGTTTAAAATAGGATTTTCTAAGTGTTGAGTGTTTAATTAGTATTGAGGGAGACATATGTTAATCAAGGAATGACACATGTTAATCAAGGAGAATTTATAAAACGGTTGGCCATTTCATCTACATGATTGCCCCGATATAAGAGAGGTGCTTTGTATGTAAAATAAAATCATATAAATATTATTTTATTATTTAGCTATAAAGATATAGTTGTCACTGTCGTGACCCCTATCCAAGCTCGACACTCTCTTTTGCATTAGGATATCTATGACTAATTCTAAAAATGGTAATTTTGGACGCCAGACGATACACATAATTTAAAATTGATACAAAATTAATAAACTATGATTAATTAATTTTTTATGCAAACTTAAAATTAATACGACCTACAAAATACGAATAATAAATGGGCCAGATCAAGTTAATATTGAACATGAATAGCCCGAATTTAACACGTTTAATTGATGTAGTATAATCAAATGACTTTTTTTTCTTTTTATCACGTATTGATAGGATTTATTATAAATAAAGAAATTTTTTACTTGTTTTTTGCTATTATACAAACATAAATAGATATTTAGCTTGCGAAACAATTATTAATGATAGGTTTAGTTGAAAAGGCAATGCGATCTTAGTGCTAGATTTTTAAATCTAAAGTTATATATGTCAATTTGAACACGATACAGTAATAAATAGATTGAATTAGTGTCAAGACATCTGACACAATTAATTAAATAGATTGAATTAATATTCGATGCAAAAACAAAATAACATGACCAACATGACTCAATTCTCACCCTGATCTATTGCTTCCTGCTTTATTTTTTTGGAGTAAGTAATCTATGGCTTCATTCACCGGATATTTATTTCCAAATTCTGTGATTGAGATTAAGAAAGGCCATTTAGAGGAACCATGTGGGCCCAGCTCCTAGGGGTAAGAACTAGCGGTCCAGATGAATGGCCCAAGAAAGTTTAACAATCCACAGCCCAGTAGTCCTTCCCCTGGTACAAGCCAACATCCTTTACCTGATTGTGTTCCATTCAACTCTTTCCTTTTGCTATTTTTGTTATTCCTTCATTATTTTTCCTTGTGATTTTGATGGGAAATACTCTCTCATACTATTGCGTATTAAAACTGATCAATTGTGGGTAAAATACTACTCGGAAAGTGATACAAGGTACAGCGTAAACACATTCCCAACTTCTGAATTGTCCAGAGTTCCAAGTCCAAGTATAAATATTATGTCATTTAATTCCACAGAATATTCTTTTTTTACTCACCCCAACCCCCGGGGCTGCACAGTTTAAACTGTATATTCAGAATTCTTTTCGAATCCCGGTCAATTACAAGTCTAACAGTCAAAATCAAAATTTTCTGTCACTCAATTCTATATCACTATTCCCCCCATCCCAACACCAAAACAAGGGTGAAAGGGATAGAGGAACGACCCTCCTGAGCAAATAAGAACTACGAGTTGTCAACAACAGTGTAGACATACCCTGCTAACAATACAATCAAAGCACGGACAGATGAAATATCCTCATTCAACTTTCGCCACTCCTCCACCAGGTATGCTGCTTTCTGCAACAGTCTCTCTCACGAACCTACAAATATCCCATAGTCCCAACCCAAAAAAAAATAAAGTATAAATAAAGGATCTCTAAATGGCATATTAGTGGCTCATACTCTTTGGCCCTTTAGTTCTAGTAAATGGTTAAATAGAGAAAATGATAGCTACTATGTCATAAGAGAAAGGCCAATACCTTGCTAATTTATCTCGAGATGATTGCAAAATGTAGATCGAGAGAATAAATGACACTAGAAGCCCTGTTTGGTGCCAAAAAGGGAAGTCATAAACAAAACATAACATAAAGCTCTCTCATAGTCATATCACATTGATCCCTTTGGTTGATCACAAATTCGATCAGGTTCATGCATCCCCTGAAATTACAGAACTCACAATCAAGTCTATTCTAGATAAGAAATGTGTATCATGATCCTGTTGTCAAAAATTCAAAAACCTTCAAGGGGATGGCACATGAGCTTCATGGAAGGGTATGTGGCTATTCACCAAAAGAATAAAATCTGGGGTAAAGCCAAATTATTCCAGCCTTTTTCCTTTCTCTTAATTATTTTAAGTTTGAGTGATCACAGATCGTCAAGAACTGCAAAGGAAAGCCTCCCCCCAGCCCCTCCAAAAAAAAAAAAAAAAAAAATGCACACACAACAAACATCACCCCAAAAAAAAAAAAGAAGAGGAAATGAAGGGAAAACAAGGGAAAAAAATTAAACCATGCTACTTTAGTTAAAATGAGCACTTAGTGAAATATTATGGTTACTCCTAATACGACATTTCACAAGAAATCAAATAATCACCAATTTAGAGCCAAGTCCTTAGGTTGGCATGCAAACTTAGCAAGTAATGCTGGAGCATGTATGTCAAATGCAAAAGGGTATAGGCCCATTTTGAGGTATTAGCCAAGTGATTTAATCATCATCAATATATGATTCTTAAACCATCAAGCAACAAGTAACAGAATAACGTTGATAACTTCGATGATTTTAATGTAAAGACAGCTCCATTTGTCTTGAGCAACTCACTGGTCACGAAGCTATACAAAACAAAATCACATTAACAGGGAAGGATCAATTTTGATGATTTTGGAATTTGGAAGAAGCTACAGCCACAGCCTACTAGAGTAGGCAGATCTGTTGTCTGAGTTCATCAGATTTTTACCTGATCCAAAGAGAACAAAGAATCCAGAAGCCACGTCTATCTCAGACTGCTCCTCCCTGTAGTATAAATTAGAATATCATATCAACAATCTACTGCAATTTACAGGAACCAGAAAGGTGAACATCACTAGCAAACGTATACGCATCTCGAACTTTGTACAAATCATGAAATGCACTGCAATTACAAGAAATTGGTCATTGCCTAATTTAATTCTCATTAGACAAGGTTACTGGGAGGCGCAAACATGTTATAAAGACTCGACATTTGACGTCATTCCACAAAGTGAGAAGTGTTAGATTCAAATCACAACCACATTGTTGATCAGCTTAACACTTTTACCACTGCACAAGACAATGACCCCATAATAACTAGTAGCTGAACTAAATATTCTTAAAAGTTTAATGGTGGATCAAAAAATTGTGTATTTACCAACAACAATGTTTTATAAAAAAAATGCATGCATGCAGGCCTATAAGAAAATCCGATGCAATCAAGTATCAAGTATATATCCATACATAAACAACCGGACATTGAGAATGGTGTTCACAAACTTTCAGAAGGGTAACATAGTCCCAATCCACTAAAGCTGCAGGGATTATTTAGGCCGAGTGGTTTTAATTATCATGGTTTGTGATCTACAAATAGACAGCTCAGAGTAGTACACAGACCTAGGAAGGAATTTCTGTGCATTTAGAAATAATTCATTCTTCTTTATTAAACCTGATCCAGAATTGCAGCACTGAGAGAAACCGAAAATTTGTACAAACATGTCCAAAAATCCAGATTACTATAGCATGAATGGATAAATAAATCCTTGGTGCATATTTGGAGTCATTCAATCGCATGCCCGATTAACAGATGTCTATATTCACATGACTCTAAACCAAAAAAGAAATAATGCAGAATAATTCAGAAATTTCATGTTACAGGAAGCTGTCCAATCTTTTTAAACAGTTGTAATTTGTAACCCATAGCAAGAGGCTCTAGACTTCAATGAATCTAAATATAACCACGCAAATCCATTCTGCATTAATCCAAAGAGAATGGAAAATCTTTAATTAGGATTGCAATGACACTAACCATGTGTATCTGACAAGCACATGCTTTGGCCAATGTTGTGGATCCCAAAATTGTTTACGAATGTCAGGATGAAGTTCAACATCTGTCCAAGACACAAATGTTAAATACTGCAGCCAAGCCTATAAACTATCAACCAGATTTCCAGAAAGGTGTGCATTGGAATCCTTCCGAAAACAAAGGTATGCATTGGAAGAGTGAAAATAACATATAGGAAATGAAAAATTCCAAACCCCATAAGTTTTTCCACAACATTCTAAATTCTAATAGCATGAATCGACTAATCAAAGAGGACAGGGGTAAAGAAAGAAAGAAAAATAAGGGACATCAGACCATATCCACACGACAACAAAGAACAGAGACCAAATGCATTATTGCATTCAGCATACCAATATAAAGCTCCAAAAAAAAAAATTCAATTTTCTTCTACCCAATTTATTTTGTCAATTTGGGACAAAAAGTTCATTAATTGTATGAAAGTCATCCAATTCATATATGCTTCCACTAGATGGAGCTTAGAACGTGGGAGAAAACAACAATAGGATGCCCTGCGGAAAAGTTGTGGGCCATAAAGGAAGTGTTTGAACTGACCAAGCAAAAACATTTCAATAAGCAAGATCGTTGCAGGATCCAACAGTGATCAAATTCAGGCAACTTTCTGCTAATTTGAACACAGCTGAATGAGACACTTATTTGGACTTCCTTGCTTTTCCCGCCGCATCTCTCTTCTGAAAGCACGAAGATCATAAGCAGCCTGAATGTCAGCTCTAATAATGTAGAAAGCAACCTGTGCAACTTCTTGGCAAATGAGGGTCTGAAATGGCTGAAAGGCTTTTTTCCCTAGGCAAGGCCCAAGACCATCTGATTGAGTATCTAGAGGGTGACAAGATGAGGTGCTCACCGAGGGCTTACTCTATTGTCCATTACTTATTTTTTGCATTGTACATTTTGTACCCATTGTTTACAGTCAAACTAATGGCGTTCCTAATATACCCAGATAAAATCTCTTTCCTCTTTCTGTTTGAAATAAGCCATCCCAGAGACTTGCAAAACCAAAAATAATAATTGTACCCCACTAGAGTAAGAAAGAACAATACTTGTGCAGCCAACTCAAGGTTGTTGAATAAGCATTGCACAAGATTAGTGTTTAGCTTTAGTTAGAGAGACTGATGAATAAAGCTATCGTCTATTTAAGAAACTAGTCAGGTGTGCAGGACAGGATATATTGTTGGGGTCAAGTATGGAAGACAAGAAACCACATAGCAATAATAGCAGTAAAAAACACAGCCCCTATAAGCCACTGTATGGAAGATGAGAATCAATTAAAGCATGACCTAATCACAACCCATAAAGATGATCTAATCACAACCCATGTTTCAACATTGCAAAATTCAAATTATGTGCCCTACATTGAACTACTCAGTAGAACTTCTAAACTTCTAACAGACAACTGCAGAATTATGCAAGTTTGAGTGGAAAAAGAGGGAAAACATGCAGACTTGTGTACCAATTTTAGTAACATGCAGACTGGTGTACCAATTTTAGTATGCCAGTACCAATGAAGGTACTAATCAGAAGAGAGACGTACAGCGATGAGGCATATCTAGAACTTTTGCAGTGATCCCAAGCAAATCGCTTCCAGAGTACCTCTGTATGACATACAAAATATTCCTACTTTCATTACATAAGAAATCAACCTTATAAATAGATAATCATTAGATATATCAACTTAAGAGATGAATGTCTGTAGTTCCAATAAGCACGTGTTCCAGTACAGTACTACAAACTTTAGCCAGAAGAACAGTTTCTACTGAAACACAAGCCTTACCAAATGCACATCAATCATAGGAACTTCAGAACTCTTCCGGTTTACCACAAAAAGCCACGGAATATAAAATTTTTCTCTTCCAACTTGAAATGATCTGCATGTGAATAATATTCAATTCAAGTACGAATCCCTGAGCAATTCCAGACTGAATATACAAATCAATGACCAAGAATGCAGATCTTAAAGTAGGAAGTCTTTTTTTGTTTTAGTATTCAATACCATGAGAGGGGTGGAATAACATCAGCGAAATATAAGGTGTAGATGATGACAATCATAAGTTTCAAAGCTGTTCCTTGATCAGAAAAATACAAAATGTAGTTGGGAGCACACGATGGAATGCAAAGGTTACACATATAAAAGCATGTTATTGACTGCAGGGGTACTCACTGGGTCTTCAGGGTGTTCGATAATTAAAACCCAAACCTCATTATTACACTGGATTCTTAAAAAATTCCGAACCAAGGTCTTTTCCCTAACATGCAGTAAAACATTTGGGAAGCAGCAGAAGCAGTCACAACTCCTTAGACTAAGACAATGACTACTACCTTCATTAAAACAAAATTTAGACATGATAACATGTCATTTACAAACATAGCAAGTTGTTGTATATTATAGTATCAAATTGACAGTTATAATGTGCCTCAATTAAACTCTGTGTCATTCCGTTGTGTCTATGACTCTACCTGTATTTGTTCGTATGTTCTGCACTAAGTGCTACTTATAAGTCAATAAATTTGATCTGCAGCATGCAGAGATCAACATAGTTGAGAAATACATGTTTGTACACTCAAAAATTGCTCCCACAACATCAAATTAGAACCATATCAACCTTCTCATTCATTTTGCAAGAAACTACATTGTAGCATAGAGTCATGGACTTCCGACATAGAAGTGGCACCTTAAATACTTTCCAAATACTTTTGGGTTTAAATATCCTCAATGGTTAAGATGAGGATTATTATTGCAATTTCAAACAGAAAATATATACATCAACATGCAACATTTTAATGGATGAATTAAGACGACACTTATTCTAACTATAAGTTCAGCTAAAAGAGAGTAAATATGCATTTTGTATTCCAACCATGGGTTCTCCTAAGTAGATCAGACTCAGATGTCCTTCTAAGCAATATGGGTGTTTTTTTTTTTTTTTTTTGCGTCTAGTCTTTTTAATTAATCTTGCTACTGACTTCTGACTGAATACTCAATCTGAAGATCTCCCTTCAGTGATCATCTTTACATTGAATCTTGTTTGTTTTGAACAGTAATGTTCAACGAACCCAATTTGCATATTATCAAAAGACAGTATACAATCATAAACATTAGTGAAAAAAATGGAGTCAGTGGGAATCTTGAAAAAACTCACAATTTGTAGGGATCAGCTCCAGTGTAACCCGTTGGCTTTGGTACCGGAACTAATACCTACACACCATCTCAATAAAGTTGATTGACAAATTACACACACAGAATTGCAATGAAATTTTGCTTAAACAAAACATCAATCAATCAATCTCAAAAAAATAAAAAAATAAAAATGAAGTCAAACCTCACGATTAACGGCAAAGATGGGGCAGTGGCGACCAATCATGTCATGCCAAGGAGTTCTCGACTAATACATGCAAAGCACCATACAAGAAAAAAAAATAAACCCAACAGAGGAATAGAAAAACAGAAAAAGATTGATCAAAGCAATAGAAGAGAGAAAGAGTACTGACAGCGTGGTATTGACCCATTCTGCTCATGGGAACGATGTCTCCGGGTCTGTAAGCCAAAGAATTCGACGCCACTGATGCCAGGGTTAATATTAAAATTATGGCAACTGCGCAATTTCTTGCCATGTTATTTCCCCAACAGATTGGCTTCAAATGACCCACTGAACTCAGAAAACCTAAGCCTTCGTATTGGATGATGAATCGAAACGCCTAATCGAGGACGATGATACAGATCTACCACAGTATAGTATTGGTCACGTGACTTTGTAAGGCATGTGCTATAATTACATGGTAAGATTTGAGACGTGAGAAGCGGAAAGCCCATAACTGTCCAGCCCATTAGATTTTCTCTCTCATGTGTTTAGCCCATTAGATAGATGGCTCCTTCTAGACCCAGACTATTGAGTCTACTCTTGAACCAGTAAATGTTGCACTAAAATTTGTTGCGATCGACAAAAATATTTTAATTGTCTCTTGAATTAGTAAGAGTTAATTCAAAATTTGTTGCGATCGATAGGAATGCTTAATTGTCAGACAGTTCTTAGGCAACTATTTGGAAATGGGTTCAAATACTTTATTTCATGACTTCCTTGGATGAATTCTTAAACCTTGTTTCAGGACTTCCTTAAATGAATTATTAAAGAGATGAACACACAAAATAATGAATCAATAAAAACAGATTTCTTTATTAATTCAATTGAATGAATTTCTGTTACAAAGAGACTGATTTAACAACATTTGATTACAACATTAACTACTTCTAAAAACTAATGTTAGCACTACCCTTAAATGCCCTGATCTTGGGTCTTGTTGGGGGGGGGGGGGGGTTTTGAGTTGTCCTTCAACTTCTTTCTTTTTCTCTTTTTATAGCCATTTCCTTCAACAGTTTTCCTTTATCAATTGTTGATTGGCTTTGTTACTCTAAGGTAGTTATTCCTTCTTCAAACAAAAGTTGTGGCTAATCGTTTCACGTCTTTTCTGCAGATATTAACACGTGACAATCCTTTAATGATTCTAGGCTTAACAACAGCCCATGCATCAAATATTTTTATAAATTTGTATTTTAAGTCCAAACAGTAAGCTATATCGGTCTTCTCGCTCATCAATAATATTCAATATAATTAGTGCCTTTTGGCATAAACATCCTTAGAAGATGAATATGATTTCCCTATTCTATTTGTCAAAATGTGTTAGGAAGAGATGTTATGTTTACATGGTAGTGGACGTGCTAACATACCAACACAATACAAAGCTTTCTGCCTTTGTGGCTCCTCGACTATACCTTGAAAAATGTTACAAACGAGTGTTGTTGCCAACAGTTTAATTTGACGGCATTTTGTTCAGGCTGCTAATTACTGTCTCCATGTTGTGAGTTTAAATGAGTGTTTGCTATCTATTTATAAGATGTTAAATTATGTATAGACGCACAAGTCATGTTGTTGAATAAGTCAAATGTAACCTTAACTAGATAATCAATGTTTTTTGTAACTAGAATGATAAAGCCTAGGGATATTTTGTCTTCAGTTTAGGAATTTTGTGCACGCAGAAATCTAGTTTGGTCTACATGTCCCCTCTACTTTGAAACTTTTTGTTTAATGTTGTGTCTTGGCTGCGATAATGGTGGGTTGGTCAGTTAGTATTTGCCATCGAAGAAGTTTTGAAGTTGCTCATGCACACACATTAGAGACAGACCATGAAGGGGAGAATTTAATCTCAATTAAGGGAAAGGTCCTAGTTAGCACTACCTTTAGAAATATAATCGTTGACTGACTTGTTGGCAAGAAATGAAAGTTGGAGGAGTAACAAGTTCAGATAATCAGCTTTCCCCAACTCAGTGGAAACCAAAATGATGGAAAAGCTTATCTCAAATTTTTAAGAACCTTATCTACCAAAGACCCATTCAAATAGTGAGTTCATTTAAATACTATGGAAAAATTAAGGCAGCCAAGGGATAATGATAAGATCATGCCCTCAGCAAGCCTTATTCGCATGATCAAACAAACTCCTAGCACAGGTAGGACTTTGGATGATTATCCCAATAAGGGAAAAATTTCATAGAAGTCAAGACTCCTCAACCGAAAGGAGATCAAGAACACCAAGAGAGCTTAGAGTCCACTCTACCTAGAACACCTATCAGGAAATTCAAACTACCAGAAAAGCTTAAAGTCCACTCTACCTGGAACACCTATCAAAATATTATAGAAAAGGGCCTCTTATAAAACCCAAGAAAAAAAAATTATTATTATTATTATTAAAAATCCTAATTAAAGGGGTAAAATAATAATTATTTGTTAAAGTATGGGTCAAAAAGGTAAAATTTTAAAATAATGAATTTATTCTATAGATATATAAAAATGAAAGACTTTAAAAAGTTTTTCACTTTCTTCTCTAGTCGGCGAGATAGAGAGAGTGAGAGAAAAAGTGAGTTTTTCTTTTTTTTTTTTTTTCTTCCTTCTCAGATCTACGAAAATTTAACCGTTTAATCGTTTCGGGCCAAGAACTAAAGTTGCTCTACTCAGCGAGAGCTACGCAACCATACCAAATATCGTATTTTTCTCCGAAGGAATATCAAAGCCGATAATCTAGACCTAAAACTTAGGAAGCTAAATTTGGGCTTCCTTGACGTTCTAATAAGTGGTCTCACGCTACGAGAGGTAGGGTTTTCCCTATTTAGATTTAATTTAACTTAAAATATGACATATGAAATGGGTAGGCTATGAATGTATATCACATGTTAGGTCTTGACTAGTGTGACTAATGGGTCAAATATAAGATTTATAATTAATCTTGTGATTAATAAAATTTTATTGTGATTAACTTGGTGTAAGTTAATGTTAGTGGTTTAAAACATGCTAATTGTATATTAGCATTGCTTTATATTTTAATGGCAGATCAAGTTTCATAAAATTATTAACTTGTTATGTGATTATGAAATAATATATATGTTAAATGATTATTTAACATATAATTATTTTGATGGACTTGTGGTGATGTTTATATAATGAATAAACATGCTGTCATGTTGCAAGTCATAACATGCTAGTTGTGTAAATTGATGTACTCTTTAGGTGTTTGATTAAATGCCTAAGTGAATATAAGTATGTTAGTTGAGTTGATTATCTTACATAACATGCTTAAGATCGTGTTAAAATGTCATTATATTGTATTCATTATGTAATAGACATTGTATTTCATTATGCATGGGTTGCACTACATTCATGGGCATTGACATGGGTGGGAGTGTATCCATGGTATGAAATCAATCACCGCATAGGTGGTTGATCATGGACTCGAAAAAGTCGCACCAAAGTTCGGCTGAGTCGCACGGGAAATTAAATAGATAAATGTGTTAGGGATAGCAAGAAGGGCTAGATTCTCCCTCGGGTGCAAGACCCACTTACTTGGTTTATACACTTTTCGGCGTAAAATTTCACGAAAGTGTAACGGCGGAAACGGAACCGCAGGTGGGATGTCGTGAAGATCTGTTGATGGTTGGTGTCCCATTGGTGTAATACCATAAATCACCTCCCTACAAAGACACAAGAAAATAAATTAATTAGTCATTGAGTGTACATAACACCAATGATGGGGGCTTGAATGCCCAGATATATACGCATGACATTGCATGTGTTATGGGAGCTCAGGATGGGGCTCGGGTTGGTATTGCTTGCGTGAGTCTCATCTCATGGCATGACATGATTTATGACATTCAATCATAATAGACATATTTGAATGAATGTATCAAATGATTGTTGCATGTGACATTCCATATGCATTTAGGTTGAGAGGTATTCTCTATAGGAGTTACTCTATTGAGCGTTGGCTCACCCTTTATGAGAATATTTTTTAGGTATCGCACAGCGTTCACCGAAGGCGAGGCCATGGGCCCGCTTTGACGACAGAGCCGGTCTGTGACTTTTATTTTGACATTGTAGTTCCTTATTTATATTTACTTTTGGCCTTGTATAATTTTTGTAACAAACATTTTGTTTATATTACAAAGGCATATATATTGGGGGACTCTTTTGGGACATTTATTCTCTTACGAATAAATATATGTATGATAATGATTATGGTAGTATTCGAGACTATACAATGGTGAATGGATGGATAGACCCGGTGTGGTCAATATTGTACAGGTTGCGTTTTGGGTAGAGCTCCTCGTACAAAGGAGACTCTGTCCAAATTTTGTTAAGTTATGGATCCTGAAAATGAGACATAATGG